TATTTTTATTGATGGTCAACCTGACGTGGAGGGAGCCTATGCCAGTTCAATCTTTTCCCTATAATTCTTAGATTAATTATAAAATAAAGGAGCATAGTGGTTTGCATGCTCCAGATGGAGTTTTCTAGGTCACAGAAAACATTACAGCTAATGCAGGAATGAACTAGCCAGGCATGCTGCAAAACTGCAGCTGATCATCGCGTGCGTGAGGCTGCAAGTGTGTGCCACCGCCATCGCCACCGCTGCTGGGCCCTGCATGGCGTGCGTGCAGAGCTGGCTTTGCTCTCCCCTGCACCACAGTCTGAATTCGGTCTTGGGAAAGCATCACCAGTATCTGACCCCAGACTGAAAGCAGGCTCGATCCCACACAGTCCTGCTGGGCAGAGCTTTTCTGAGCTCCGGTATTGGCAACCCCCTACCTCAGTTTCCCCACCCCGACTGCACAGCAGTTCGGACCCTTGTTTTGGAGTCCACCAAGCTGGGTGGTGCGAGTGCTTGCACCCAGCCAATGTGCCTGCTCGTGGCATGGACCAGCCGAGGTGGCAGAGGGAGGTGGCCACATGCTGGCCGGCCACAGGCCACGGGGGCCGCGGGGCTTGCTCAAGGCCCAGCCACAGGGACACTGCCGGGCGACTGTCGCACTGCGGCAGGGAGCGGGACCTGCTGTTCGCAGAGGGCAGCCAGCAAATGCAACCACCCCCTGCGCCGTGTTTGCTCAGAGCAGAGGCAGCGCCCTGGCGAGCCCAGCTAATGTGGGAGATTATGTTGGCAGCTGCTATTGCTGGGGGAAAAAAATAATAATAAATAAAAAGAAAACCTGTGTCTGGTGTGTCCCCCCTCCTGGGGTGGGCCAGGGTCCGTGCAGGGCTGGAGCCAGCTGTGCTGGCCATGGCTGGAGATTTATTCTCCGGTTAATGCCCCTGGGAAGGCTCCTCCTGGTCTGGTTACAGCGCCTGGCCGTGGCTGGGCATGGTGAATAAATGCCCCATTTATCCCCGAGGCGTAAGCCCTCATCAGCGCAAACCCCAGGAGGAGGTTTGGATATGGAGCTGAGCAAAGCCGGCTGTCGAGGTACCCACCTGGCCGAGGCTGCAATGCTGCTGGCTCCAACCACCCCCCGAGGGTCAGATGTCACCAGCTGCCACCGAGGAGCCAGCCCCCGGGGTGGCAGGGATGTCCCCAGAGGCAGGAACCTGCATGGAAGCAGATTTTCGCATTAACCTGCTCTTGCAGCCAGCAGACGGTTCCAGGCTCTAGTGCTGCAGTTTTGCAGCCCAGCTGTGCCATGGGCATCTGACGGCAACGCCCGACCCGCTCGGTGCCGGGCTGACGCTCATCGCCGGCAGGAGAGCAGCCAGGTACCAAAACCTGGGATTTCATACGTGGTGCCTGTTGGAGAGCTTCCCTTAGACTGAAGAGCAACAAGGAAAGGGTTTATCCCAGGCAGGGGTCATCAGTTTGGCCTAGGCTAAATACCTGGCTGAGCAGCATCTTTCCAAATCAGCATCCAAAAGTGAGTGCCCAGCTAATGTCCTGCTTCACCCAGGGAAACATCTCCGCTCATTTCTACTGAGCCTGTGAAAGTTGAAGCAAGAAGGAGAAAGCACTGGGGACCGCAAGAGCAGAAAAAAATTCATGTTATTCTTAATTAAATCATGTGGCAGCTCACAGTGGCACCTCGTGTCCCTGCTCTGGGTGAAACCTCCAGCAGTGCCTCAGGTATTTTATAAGCAACAGTGCAATTTCTTTTATTGCTCTGGAAAACGCTGCTGCGTGCAGGGCCGAGTGGGATTCTAGAACATGATACTCAGGTGTGACTAAAAGCTGTGGAAAATCATGCTCCTGCTCTCACCCCCAGCGATTCGGCTCGGGCAGGGAGAGGAGCCACGGGAAAGGCGCCCGGCAGGAGCGCGGGACAACTGCAGAAGCAGCTGCTCCAGAAACAAGGAGGAACTCGATAGGCGAGCAGTCGGCTTCAGCAGTGCCTCATGGAGAAGAGCTGTGCCCGGTACTGCAGGAAAGATTTACTCCGAGTTTTGGAAGGGTACGAACACTTACGGTTCATGGCAGCAATTGGAAAGGATCACGCATCTCCCCTGGACCGGCCAAGCCACCCCTCCGGCCCCAGCACAGCCAAGGGGGCCTGGGTGACAAGATGCCCGAGATGAGCCTGAGCCCTCCGGCACAGTAAAAACCACGGCTGGAAAAAAACCTATCAGCAAAATTACACTTTATTTTTTTGTTGTGGAATTTACTTTGATGTATTGTAACTTAAAAAGGTCTGGAAAAACCACATGCAAAAGGGTTTCTAAGTAGCAGCTAAAGTTTCTATTCCAGCATTACAAGCTATTCCAAATGATTTCCAATTCCCAGCTATAAACTATTCCATAAACAAACAGTTTTATCTTTAAACTCCCTCCACCCTACCCCAGTTAGTGCAGTGCAAAGGAAAAACCCAAGGAATTTACATATTATTTTCCAACGTATCCCATTGCAATTTCGAATGATCTGCGATGAACTAAAATATATATACAATTTTCTCGCCGTCATAAAAAAACATTTCCCTTTCTTATTCACAGATATATATTGTGGCAAATGGCTGAATAATTACTTACAAACAAAACAATCTTTTAACAAGTTTCTTACAACAGTAAACACAGGAGGGAGAGCTCTCCGGAGGGACGGGGGGATTTGGCAGGGCTGGGAGGGGAGCGCAGGCAGCGGCGGAGGTCGGGGATCCCTTCGGGGCGTAAGGGAGAGATGGTGCCACGGTCCCCGTGAGAGAGTGCGTGCTCTCCCAGGAGGGATGCCCTCGCCGCCTTACAAAATCAGCCACGTCAAACATGGGT